TTTTAGGTCAGGGAAAATTTATAATACATCTCCTAATCCTCGTGATTTACATTCCCAAGGTTGCTCAAGCCCGCGCTAGTCAAATGTGGCTCTGATTCTCGTGAAATCACGAAGAATGATTTGGTGAAGAATCGCAAAACTGGTTACTCAAGTTAGCACAGATTTAGCAAACGTTTATCCTATGATAAATTTCACTTACTCAAGTCATGTTTCTTTCTTCATGCTAAGTGCTTTAAATGTGGTAAAGTTAGATACGTGTCCAGTGGATGTACATCTACTCGGTTTGTAAAACTACTGTTCATTTGGACGAAAGTAATATTGAACTCTTCAAATCGGATCCAACTAATTTGGATGGTTCTGATAGTCACATACTGTTCCTATTTACAACTTTCAGTAATTCGCTGCATAATATTATGCAGTGAAAAGGGGGAAATCCGCATTATTTCCCCCGGACAGGCGAAAAAGGCGACATTCTGGGGCGTTTTCCCGTTTCTCTTCCAACGCATTTCCCCTTTTGTTGGTTGCTTGGGATCAAAATCGATTAAATCTGTCCACTGGTACTTTTCACGATCTTAATGTTGACAGATAGTAATAAGTCCACCACTTAAGGTGGAAGGTTGAAGTCAATAAATCAATCTGCTCCGGTTAAGTTTACCAAAGTTTCTATTCCGTGGATTACTGGTCATTAACTTCCTATTCTTGAGTGTAATTATTTGAAGATTAGAGATAAATCTTCGACCATAAATAGTGAATTCCTCACAAATGGTTGTAAACCATCTGCTCTGGTTCTATAAAAGTAGGAATGCTCTAAGGACACTGTTCTTATTGACTAACTGGCCAAAGGAGTAGCTGATGCCTATCAAAGCGGCAAAGTGTATCTGCGTGCACTTTGGGGATACAAGGGTTAATAGGTACAGCATAGGGGAAGTGCCTGTACCCGTGTTCCGGTCTCACAAGGACCTTCGGGGTGATCATGATCTTAAGATCACGGCCCGCTGCCTGGAGAGGTTTATAACCCTCTGGGCTTTAAGACGGACATCCACCAAGTTAGATACTTCCATGTTCACTACAGTATACACAACCTTAGTGCGAACTAAGCTTGAGAGCTGCGTTCAAGCTGCAAGCTCCTGTTTAAAAGGTGACTCGGATATCCTGAAAAAAGAACAGAGGGCAGCTACCCATGCAATTACAGAACTCCGGGGTGTACCATACAGAGATCAGCTTGTAAAGCTAAACCTCTTTAATCTATCCTATAGAAGATTAAGAGGTAATCTGATTGTGATGTATATAATACTAAGAAATGATTTTCGATCTAATATGTCCGCTCTTTTTTTCTCACTAGAGGACATTGACAGCGAGTAGAAAAGCCAAAAACAAACAAAATACCAGTAGCATACAGGTTTTCACACCAAGTCGTCAATTCTTGGAACCTATTACCCGAAGCAGTGGTGTCCGTACCTTCAATTGACTCATTCAAGAAAAGACTGGACACTCACAGAAGCATACTAGAAAAGGAATAACAGGCTGTAGACCTTCTGTCCTTACTATACGAATCTGAAAAAGATCTGACTACCGGAGACGGTTCTGATGAAGTGTTTGACATGTCAACTATAAAGTCGAAGTGCCAAGAATTACGCATAGCTCCAAAGCTCTTTCGTTCTGATGCACGAGCAAGAAATTTCAAGATCTACCTTGGATCCTATTGATCGTACTCTACGTAGAGTAACCAGATTGTCTTATTTCATCACATGTGTAACTAAGAGGCAAGGATGTTAGCACGTGCTTAATTGCCGCGTTAAAGTGAGTCTACAAGCTACATACAAATGGTCGAGCTTGCATCAGATTATGTTTGATGAGAAACCTAGTGCAATGTAGTTCAATTAAAACTGCTTTGTTACATATTGTTGATTCATTTTGTACTCATTCTTATGTCGTCTGAATTTTAATTCGAGTTGATTTACCGCTGATATATAAAAAGTTCACTCCTTATGTTCACATTATTATTATTACTCTTATCATTATCCTTATTTCCTCTTACCCCGTTTTCAGTCTAGTTGACCTTTCATTTATATATATAAATGCTCTTAACAAGTATATGTGTGATCAGATTGTTCGAAATGTATTGTGCTAATATATCACATAGTTCTGATAATCTTCGTCTTCTTATTACATAATCGAACTGTTGTCAGTTGACAAACACTGGATATTCGAAACCCGTGGTACAGGAGCTGGCAGGAACTAGATGTTATGACTTATACCCCTGTCAAGTACCAGGTGACGAAGTCGCGAACCAGAACATCGACTCCTATGACATGTGATAAGCCAATAACATGTCAAACAGTAACAACAGCCCTGTGCCAGCTCTGAATCCTTATTGGTCCTCGATATAGTATTTTCTAGCCTAGCCTAGTCCAGAACGCAATATCCGCCTCCACTGTGGGGATAGTTGTTATAACTTGTAGCATGTGTGCCCTGTTAATGTATAACGTAACGATACCGCCAATTAGAGCAGTGAATTATCGACCGGACCAATGACGCATAAAACCCGTGCGAGCAATCTAGAGTACCTATCGGTCCTGCATAGCCCAGCCAGTTAAGTCCAGAACACCAATCTCAGCCTCTGCAATATGAATGGTTTATTTCAAACATACTCTGTTTATATACCAACCAGACAGACCACATCGTACCATAAAATAGGAAACAAGATTTGGCCAAATGTGGTTGTGAATGTGGGGGGTAGTAATTAATAGACAGGGCATAATTCAAGAATGGTAAATCGTATAATAATAGTTCATAGGTCAAAATAAAGCTCATAATAAGAGGAACATGAATATGAATTCTTTATTTATTTAACAACTATACGGTAAAAATTTACGCATAGTATTGGTCCATAAATGTATCCCAAAAGTTACCATTCTTTATGGTTATCTGGACATAACAATAATATATTTCAAATATACGTGGATCATATACCAGCAGACCGGACATAATCATACCATAAAATAAAGAAATTAGTCACACAGAATCAAGACAAAAGTGGCTGTGACTGTAGGAGGCTGTTACTAATAGATTGGGAACAAATTAAGTATAGTATGGCGTATAGTAGTAGCCAAAAGTCGAATGAAGGCTTATGATAAAAGTAACATTTATGTAATAAGTCTACAAATAATCTCCAGATACAACACTATTCAGGCATTCTGTATCCGTGTCAGGGTCCTATTGGCCGCTGACTAATCGGAGTTGGTCGAATTATCGACATATGATTACCTCACTCACTGTAGTCAAATTAGGCATCAATACGAACCAGTTCTGAAACATTGCGGATTTCTGGAGGGGAAATGACGTACCCCAGACATTTTCACACGACGAAATACACTCAGAAAAATTTTCTAACAGATTACACTCGTATATGCTTATATTCATGGATGCCAGGAAAGTTCGTGGTTACATCGCTTAGTCAGTATTATCTGCCTAATGATGTAGTGTAATTTACGTTTCTTCGACTGTCAGTCATGAACAGATCAAGTCAAAATGGATTATTGATTGACATAAAATACAAAAGCTTTCCATGCATGTGTATCACACAACGTTGGGCTTACTGTGGACAAATGTATTATAATTCTTCTTTACATGTCAATTTAAAATTGATATCAAACTCGGATGTCATCAAATTGATTTGTAACTTTTTATTGTCAAAGCAGGAACCGCCTACTTATGTAGTTGCTGTCATGTGACTGAGGAATTTCAAATGAAGTGAAAAGTAGGTATCATACAGCCGATGACGTTGGCAGGGGTGTATTTACTTCAAACACCTTCCAATCTCACCACTACTCAGTGAGTGATTTTTATCCTACTACATAAAACTATTATTGCATCAAAGTTGCACTAACGGATATCAAGTAGATAAACCCTTAACTAGTTTTAGGCAGTCTGTACTAACAAACAAATACCGGACACTATGCACTGCACTGACAAATAACTCCTGTATATAAAACAATAGTTCATAACGACTAACTCAAACGAAAATCATCGTACTAAGACACATGACCATAGGATACATTCGACTTTGTTATATCCGAGCAAGGATTAAATCACGAGTAACTTCTGAGACATATTAATTGACTAATATTATTTATACATTCTTATGGTATAACTATTCAATAATTAGATTAGGTATATTTATATTCCTCTTATTATAAGCTTTATTTTGACCTATAATTTATTATTGTACGATTTACTGTTCTTAAGCTATGTTCAGTTTATTAACTACTGCCCTCCACTTTCACAGACACTTTTTGGCGTTATTGTGTACAAATGTTATTTCCTATTTTATGGTGCGTTGCGGTCTGTTTGATTGATATATAAACCCAGTATGTCTGAAATAAAATATTCGATTTGCATATTGGAAGATGGTATTTGGTGTTCTGGACTCAAGTGGACGGTCTAGGCGGACATAGGACCAATAAGGACGCTAGGCTGCTCATACCGGTCGAACGTCATTGGTTTGGTGGATGAATCACGTGCTAAAAAGTCGAACATAAAGTCACAACACCCTGACGGATTAATTTCATGTCACCCAGCTTCACAGTCAGAGACGTTACCATTGGGCTATCCGGGCCGCGACTGGCCTCCTGTAGGACTGAGATTTATTCACAAATGACTGATTACTGACTGGTGGATCAATGTCATGTGTGTCAGATCCTATAGACCAAAATAGCACGAAACCTATGTTCAGGGTTTCCTGTCGACTACCTCCGACCACCATCTCAACCTAACATAATGCACGCAATGTCGAGTCACATAGACTACTGCTTATACCGGTCGAACGTCTATTAGTGACTTGAACCACAGAGTTGCAAGGAACCAGTGGATTTCTTCAAGGTCTGTCACACTGATGGATTCTCGCAAACTCGTCCCATCAGGTTCTGAACATGATGAAGAGCGTAAACAAATCAGATCTAGGTTAAGAAAAAGTCTAAGGAACGACCGTGAGCAGTGGTGGGTAACGAAAGCAAAAGAGATGGAAAAGGCGGCGACTATAGGGAACACAAGACAGCTTTACAGACTAATAAAAGAAACTGGAATTAATAAGTCAAGTGTAAGTGAGATTATATCGGAAAAAGACGATACCCTCATCTGCTCCCAGTCCAGACGTTTAGAACGATGGGCGGAACATTTTAGAGAACAGTTCAGCTGGCCTTCAGCTACTCTACAACTACCCTCCATTCCCAGACAATGTGAATGGAACATTGAAGTAGGTCCCCCAACTCTTGCTGAAGTTGAGAAGGCTATAGTTAATCTGAAACGAGGAAGGGCAGCTGGTCCAGATGGATTGGCTCCAGAGGTCTTTAAGGATGGTGGTCCAATTTTAGCGATTAGGTTGACTAATATTTTAGCTAAGATCTGGGAATTAGACCTTATCCCATCTGACTGGTCGCAATCACTTATCGTCCCAATATATAAGAAAGGGTCAAAATCATCCTGTGACAACCACAGAGGGATTAGTTTAACAAACATAGTATCTAAAATACTGGCCTCGATAATTATCACGCGCCTAACTAAGACTCGTGAACTACAAACACGAGAGAACCAAGCTGGCTTTAGACCTGGTCGTGGCTGCATCGACCACATATTCACCATTCGTCAGGTTCTAGAACACAGGCATACTATCGGCGTCCGACGATGGTGGTCTTTCTTGACTTAAAAGCAGCATTTGACTCTGTAGACCGCGAGATTCTGTGGCAGTGTCTGTCATTGAAAGGCGTACCTCAGAAGTACATAAACCTTGTGAAGGCTCTTTACTCGAACACTACTAGTCGAGTCAGGGCTTATGGCGAACTGTCATCTACTTTTGCAACCTCAAGTGGTGTCCGTCAAGGCTGCCCACTTTCCCCATTTTTGTTTAACTTCATCATAGACCTATTGATGGAAATAACACTCTCGTCGACTGAATTCTCGGGTATTGATCTCCTTCCAGGAGGTCCACTTATCGACTTAGAATACGCAGATGACATAGTCCTGTTTGGTGAAGACGCTGACAAAATGCAGAGTCTTCTGGTAGCACTAAGCAACAATGCCAGAATGTTTGGGATGCGCTTCTCTCCCTCTAAATGCAAGTTGTTGCTTCAGGACTGGTCTGCGTCAACACCTGAACTAAGGATAGGGAGTGAAGTAGTCGAACGCGTTGACAACTTCACTTATCTTGGAAGTCTGATCAGCCCTAATGGGTTGGTGTCTGACGAAATCTCAGCACGGATTCGAAAAGCTCGTTTGGCTTTTGCCAACTTACGTCACCTTTGGCGGAGGCGAGATATCCGTCTATCAATAAAAGGACGAGTATACTGCGCGGCAGTTCGTTCTGTTTTAATTTACGGCAGCGAAACATGGCCCTTAAGAGTAGAAGACACCCGTAAGCTACTAGTATTTGACCACAGATGCCTTAGAAATATTGCTGGCATCTGCTGGGATCACCGGGTAAGTAATAGTGAGGTTAGACGCAGGGTATTAGGGAATGATGGTAAATCAGTTGATGAGGTTATGAATCTTCATCGACTGAGATGGTTGGGCCACGTGTTACGTATGCCTGAACACCGATTACCACGACGTGCAATGCTAACCGGTGTAGGGGATGGTTGGAAGAAAGTTAGGGGCGGCCAAACCAAAACGTGGCATCAGTGCCTGAAGTCACTAACTTGTAGTCTGAGCCATGTTGGTAGATGCAGACTACTTGGTTGGGGTCCGCGTGACTTTCGTAACCAATGGTTGGAGACTCTTGGTGACATGGCTCAGAATCGATCACAATGGCGTCGGTGTATACACTCCCTGTCTTCCCTTAAACTAAGAGATTAAAATCACTTCATATCTTTCTTTCTACGAACTAATTCTTTCTTCCTATACTATATCCTTATTGCAATCCTCCTATATATTACCACCTCTGAATTAACTACTTTTATGAATCCGGTGTTCATCTTGCTGTGCTAATGAGGTATGGCAACCTGGACCGATGCACATATGTGCCTGGTCCTACGTTGTAGCTGACTGACTGACCGGTCGAACGTCATTGGTTTGTCACAGTGAAGATTGTATAATTTGTATTTTGATTGGTGGACAAATCATGTGATAAGCCGGAAATAAAGTCATAATAGACTTAACATATAATAACAAATAAAGCGAGAACAAGTTTCACAGAATAACATGAGTCCTATACATTTAAAGGGCCCCCACTAACTGAAAACGGCCTTACTCACATCATCATAAAGAGTATAAACATCATAATTAATGATGTTTAGTTCTAAATGACATAAGAAACAAGATGAGAATACGACCCGTTTAACATAATAATTAGGACTGATTGATATTTTTATGTTGAAAACAAAGTAATGAAAGGAAGGGAATGAAGTTATAAATGATAGCAGTCAACGAATAGGATTTGTAGACAAATCAGTGATAGTCAAGCCGCCTAGGTGATATAAACTACAGGATTTTTTATATTTTAAATTATGAAACACAACGGATATCATGTATTTGGCAAACAAGAGGTTGACTACGATTTCTCACTGTATACATAGGTCACTTGCCTCAGGAAAACAAATGGTTTCCGCTGCTTGTTAGTTATTTTCCATCTTTGCGATATCTATTATCTACTAGACGTTTGATGACCGTACTTGAGAATACTCTTATTTCTTCCAATTACAGCTCTTGAGGAACATGTTTAGAAAACCTTGTAGATCCTCATCTTTTGGTCCTTCTTACGTACTTATTATACGACAAGTCGTAAATGACTTTAGTGACCTTCCAAGGGTACTAATCTGCTTAAAACATCCAGTTACACGCTAAAAACAACTGACCTGTGGAGAACCTCATTTCTAGTTCTACTTGAATCCTTTTGTCAAGTCTAACAGAAATATCCTCTGCCTTAAACCCAAGATCCATGAGGACATGCTCTTTCCTAACAGATGTTTGTGATTTCCTATGAATATTTATTGTACAATTCAATATCGTGCCCTCCATTTTTGCTGTTTGAACACAGAAGTCCAAAACTGTTACTGCTTTTAAGATAGTAAATCTTAACACCACCTTTCACGACGTCAACTTAAATTTCGATTAACTCTGTACTTTGGTTATCACTCATTTATTTTTATTGATTATGACTTTATGGTCGACAACCTCATCCCCTTATATTATTTTGTTATTAACAGACAAATACCAACCAATCTTAACTATTATGTTGTGTTTTCTTATTTTTGTTCCTTACTTTTTATAATCAAGTAAATAATGTCATCTTTTAACACAAATCTTGTCAAAAAGCATCAACGAAATATATACGCAACAAAATCAGAGGTTGGTACTGAGAAGTATGACAAATTGGAATAAGTGGATCAGTAAAAAGATCATTAGGAGAAGCAGTTCGGTCAGAAGAATGAAAATAGAAAGAATCCTCCCAGTTAGAGAAGTCCTTTACATTTATGATGTCAAGGGAAGCTACAGCGGGACTGCCGCCTGCTTCTATTTAAAGCCACGTCCGGTAAAGTACTAAGTCCAACAGTCTTAGAATTGACAGGTAAAGCATGATGTTTAGTCCACTGGGACGACACTCGTAGTACACTTTACCTACACGACACTAGTTTGAGAAAAACGAGCCAACACAAAGATAAATGTCATCTAGAATAATCGGAGCTTATCGCATTACTGAATTCGCTTACTTACCCATCTCTATAAATTTCAATACACACCCCCTCACTAGGCGGAGTGGACATGAATGAGTAGTAGACAAGCATTTCGTGGTTGTCGGTTTGATAAAAAAATAATAGCTCAAAGTTTTGATACAAGTACATACACTTTAATGGAGCTAAGTTAACGCAAAACAATTTTTAAACAATGAACATTACATTTGCTTATATTTACTTATTCTATTTAGATGTTGAGAAATTTCAAAAACATTTGCTACGTTTTCTTGCCGGCATTAAAAAAAGGCAACACTACCAATGCAATTAAAATTATAAGAAGCAATGGGTTATTTGCACTCCAGACGACAAATAACTGCAGGCAGTGGAAGATGTTAACTTAAGAATAACAAATTTTATGAATACGGAACGACGAAAAATTTCTAGAAACCGGAACGCGGTATTCCGAAATACTTAGATCCTACTGAAATACTAGTCACATGTTATTATTGGGACACAGCACTTATTGTGCAGTCATCCGGGGTCAATAACTATGACTGGTTTCCAAAAACCCATCTACCGATATTCTGATAATAGTTGGCCGGGCTCATATGGATATGGCTAACATAGAGCCTTCTACTAACTGACGACACCAGTGATTTTAATTGGAACAAGCAACTCACACCCCTGTGTTATAAGCAGTTACAGTCGGATTTATTTGACAGTTGTCAGGTTATAAGGTCGAACAGGATAGAATTCAGCTCGAAAAAAATCATTTACGACTCAAACTAGCCCGTTGGGAAGACAGGGCTTGAGTTTGGACGTTAGTAGGAAGGAGTCGGTGAGGAACTTATAGGCTACGTGAAAATATACCACAGTAGTGTGGGCTTGTGGAAACTATTCAATATTTATAAGATTAGGAAGCGGTGCAAACTAGACAAATAGTTGATCAGTGCCCCCATGATTTTACTGGTCAATAAGCTTAGACCACATCAGAATCTCAAAATATTACTTAGATCAATAGCTTCCGATTATTAATATTACCCTACAGATAAGCCAGGACTGTGAAAAAAACGGAAAACAAACCAATCCATTTCAAACATATATTACATATTTTCACAATACCCAATCTGGAAACTCGATAATAACATCTTTACCCGTCAACTTTTTGTATAATCCAGTGATAGTTTTGAGCTGAACGAAGTTTAGACAATACACAAACATACCTTATGCTCTATGTAGTTTCTCTGCGCAACATCCAAGTGGCATTTGATTACTGAACTTCCATCGCATTTGAATTGAGTGCGTTTTCCTACAATTTCAGCTGGGTAGACAAGATCTTTCAATATAGCTTCGTGCACAGCTGTTAGGGTCCTACTTCTAGGACGCTTTTGCTTCGGATTAAATTTGCAATTTCTTTTAGGCTTTGCAATGATTCTTCGGAAAGCCAGGAGTACAACATGAGGACCACGGAGCTTTTTCTCGAGTTCGCCTACGAGTCTGTTATGTATAAGCTGGTATGTCCGTAGTTGTGGAACAGGTACATATATAACGACTGCCTTTTCTTTACCTATAGTCATTTCCTAGTACGTATAAATAAGAAGTAAAGAAACAAACTTTTGCTTCACAAAAGTACAAAAGTTTCATTGTATCAGACCAGTCATCGTGTATCTGTAAGTCTATGATGGCCTAAAAGATGATCAGGTACCCGCATGAACATACTTGAGCAATTTCTTCTTCTAATGGAGTGACCGGCTTTTTGTCCGGTTTAATTATTTTGGACAAAGCAAGAGAATGAACCTAATGTACATATGAGAGAAGCGAGAAACGTACATTTGTAGCCTGAAGCATGTTTCATCCACACAGAGCGGCCTTAAAGTGAATGCGCTTCCAAACAAAACTATCGAGTGATATGATATATTGACCCGTGAATACTGACGAATTCAACACAACTTTTTTTTCCTTTTTATATATTGAATTCATCTTAAAATATGTCTATGACTTTGTTTAGTAGCAAACTTATAATAATCCCATGTACACATTACTGGACAAAGGTCACCACCTAAACAAGGTCCGTCCGTACTTTGGTCAATTGTTCTAATATACAAGTGATAAACTCTACGGATTGGCAACCGAAAGTTTGAAGAAGCCATGGACCATTAGTTTATCAGAAAAAAACATTTCTTTGATAATTTTTCATCACTATAAATCTGCTGAGAACTGGGTTTTGAAATCAATATTTATACGTGATATTAGTGAACTGTTTATTGCTTGAAGTACGTTTTTAGTCACGAAGAGTTGTGATTCTCGCTATCTCCCTTCTAAAAACCGATGGCGAAACAATTTAGTTCAAATGGTTGAAATGGTTATGGACGGAATAGAAGAAGCTTTCGCTTAACGGGCTTCCGTGTCTAATAGCAGGGGA